ATTCTGTTTTTTTTAAGTGGCACAGCCGCACAGATCCATTTCTGCCTCACTGGCTTTTCTGGAAACAATCCTTTTGGTTGCAAGTATCTCTGCTAACTGACAAACTTTGCTGCAGACGACAGGTGTGGTGTTCCCAAAGCGTCCTATAGATGCCCCACCAATTTTGACTCCTCCAGCTACACATAATTCTCAGACCTATGGTTCACCCAGATATGCTGCGGGAAGTCTAAGTGACAGAATGTCCTCAGATGTTGAGACTCTGAGGTTATGCCCTTTTCCTTACTAATTTGGCCTTTTCTCACTCAATTAACCTGTCTCATGATTTTAGCTGCGTTTTTCTTTGGTTACAGTTTAGGAGATTTGAGTAAGATTCGAAATGTGGCAGACCTACTGAATGATATGGTGTATGCTTTAAACCCATCTGATCGAACGGTATGAAAGAATTATCTTCTCTAATTATTCTTGCCACCGTGTTGTACTCTAATTGATGTGGGTGACTGACCTCTTAAATTTGTTTGGACCTAGGCTATTAACGATGAAATTATCACAGATCTTGTGACCCAGTGTCGCTCAAATCAACAAAAGCTTCTGCAGTTTGTCAGTACATCAGGGTAAATATTTTGCGGTGTTAATATTGCCACTCCTTTCTCTTTGATCTGCAATGGTCTTGCATGGTTCCCATTATTCTTTCATATCACGCATGTGACTTTTGAGATGTTTGATGCTATTTAGGAACGAACAGTTACTAAAGCAAGGACTGGAGATAAATGATCTCTTACAAAGCGTACTTTCAAAGTATGATGCTGTGGCCTCTGGTGCTCCTTTGGCGGTTGAAGCACCTGTGAGAGAGGCAATTGAGGCTCCTAGGGAGGCTCCTGAACATAATGATAATGTTAAAGAAGAGGAAGATGAGTTTGCCCAGCTATCTCGAAGGTATGTCTGAGCAGCCTGTACAATGCCAATTTTACTTTCCTGTACAGTATGTTAACGCTTCATGCTTTATGCATCTGCAGGAAAAACAAATCTGTAGTAAGTAGCGACAATGCATCATCCAGCACTGGGGCGGACCTTGCCCTTGTACCCATTGATCAAGCAGTTTCAGAATCGTCATCTTCTGTTGCAAGCAATGCACTGGTTCTTCTTGATCCTGCTCCCAGTACTTGCACTGAATCAAAAGAGCTGGACATGATAGACCTTCTAAGCCTCACCTTGTGCAGTCCTACTCTTGAAACCTCAACAGATTCTTCAGCACAGGATCAAAATGGACACCAGCAACCTGCAGTTACACATAATCAAAATGGGCCTCAGGAACCTACAGTTACAAATGGGCAACAATATCCTTCTAGTGTGCCACAATATCCTTCAAACTACCAGCCTCACACTGCAAACCAGGGATATGCTCCACAGAACAGCAACTACATTGCACCTTGGTCCCAGACCGGAGCATATCCGCCTCAGCCTCCAGCATATGCATCTGGCTATGGCTACCCTGCACCACCATGGGCGGCACCTACACATCCTGTTGACTCTAACCCTTTCCTTTCGGTTAATTACCAAGATCCTCGCCCTGTTGCCACTCCTGTTGCTCAAGCAGCCACCTATGCACCTCCCCCAGCTTCATACCCCCCTTCTTCAATATCTTATACACCATTTGCAGCCCCCCAGTTAATTCAGCATAACAGTCCTGTGGGTTCACCAAGCAATGGGCAGACTGCAAATCAAGCCCAAATGAATGTGAATCAACAATCAAAAGATTCTTCGGCAGCATCTAGCAGACCATACTACATACCTGATAATCTATTCAGCGATTTGATCGATGTGAAAAGTTTTGGTGGTGGAAATAAGATGGGCGGGCCCACTACAATGGGTAGCTCAAATGGTGGTCAACCTATGATTGGCGGAAAGAAATAGGGTTATTTGTCTATATATACAGCTGATGGTGATCGGTAGCTGCCTTCTTGTTATTTATTACTACTTGGTTCGGTGTACATTTACTGTATATCGCCATTCCCTCTTTTGACAGATTTGGCTGCATTGGTTGATTCGTGGGTGCTACTGTTAAGTTTAACAGAGTTGTGGACAATTGCTCATGTACATAAATGATTAATAGCATTGCTCCACTGAGGTGGATGGTTGTGACGAAATCTGTGAATACCTGATAATAGCATTGCTCTTGAATTTGTTGCATGCTCCAGAAGGTAAAATCCTGTTACGAGCTTGATTCCCTTTACATCAGGGATGACTGGTGAAGACACAGAGGCTCACACAACCAACAAGAGATTCTGCAATCTGGATGGTGGGCAGTGACCGTGAGTCCGTGAAGATGAAGACTTCAGAAGTCAGGCAAAAGAGGGGTTAGCCATGGCCGCTCAATGGGCTGAACTGGGCCACTCTCATTACCAAGTTAATTTTGGAATCTTAGGTCGACCTAGCCCATGATATGCTGTGCCTATATGTCAGGAGAAATGAAATACCTATACCTAGCAATTATGGCTCATTTGGCTGGCAATTTTTTACTAGCAATTATGACGTGTCTTGTCAAAGAATGATAGGCGTAGAAGTGCTCAGGAAGCGTTTTTACTAGCAATTATGGCGTGTCTTGTCAAAGTACTCCTAGTACCTCAGTAAGCGTTGATTTTATTATGCCTTGGAGATCACTTCCAAATTTTAAGTTTTTTCACTCTCTCTCACATTAATTTTTGGACGTATGCATGGAGCATTAAATGTAGATAAAAAAATAACTAATTACACAGTTTGGTTGTAAATCACGAGATGGATCTTTTGAGCCTAGTTAGTCCATGATCGGACAAAGTTTGTCAAATACAAACGAAACGTGCTACAGTGTCCAAGTTGTAAAAATTTGCAATCTAAACAAGGCTTTAGTAGCGATACACTGCTAGAAGCGACTTCCTCTATGGCCTTGTTTAGATAGCGGTTAGGAATTAGTATTTGACACTGTAGTATTTTTGTTTGTATTTGATAATTATTGTCCAATTATGGCCTAACATGACTCAAAAGATTCGTCTCATAATTTACAATCAAACTGTGTAATTAGTTATTTTTTTATCTACATTTAATACTCTATGCATGTGTCTAAAAATTTAATGTGATGGAGAGAGAGTGAAAAAACTTGGAATTTAAACAAGGCCTATGTTGAAGACATGCAACTGGCATCTCATACTGCTGGAGCGGTTCTCTCGACATGTATCCACGACCGCGGCGCGCCCTGCGAGCACTCCCGGGGAGCGCACTCGCCATCGCCACCACGGCCACGACCGCGCTGTCTCGCGCGTCCACTCGCCCACTACGTCTGCTGCGCAGTGCTCGCATCGCATGGCCCATTGTTGTACAGTATACATGTATTTATACACAATGGTGAATACGAGGTAGTGTGTTGGCTCATATCCTGTTACACTCTTATCAATGAAGGACGGGAAATGAGGGCCGGTCCTGAGCATTTGAAGGCCTGGAGCGAAACTGTGGACAGAGACCCCTTTTTTTCTCACTCATGAAATTATAAACAGAGGTTTTTTATATTACTGAAAGAAAAGTATCGTTAAATCCTAGAATAAATTTAGAAAAAATTTAGTACCCATGTAAGTCGAAGATTTGCACTCGGGTGGTTAGGTTTACCATAAGAGCTATGCTTAGTTTACAATTTCATTGGATGTTCAAATCTCAACACCGCATGATCATACATGCACATGTATACAAGCATAGGTGCACAATTTTAGAAAAGATTTCACTAGATATGTTCAACTATCAATCTGCTAAAGACACACAAGAGTGAAACACAAAGTAGAAGAACAAAAACGCCTGACTGCTTTTCACCTCCGCCAGCCAAAGTAGAGTATTCATTGAGACAACGCCACAAAGTCAAGCCAACCAAGCCACGAAATTAAAAGCCTGTTTGGTAAGGTTCCTCTCTGGTTCTAGCTCCGGCTCCTCCGGAGGAGTCCTACTAGACATTTATAGGATGATCTGTTTTTATGAAAAACAAAGGAGCCGGCCTGCCAAACACTCTCTAAAATTGGCGACGTGCTTAGGCCTAGCTTGTTTCATTGGCTGGCAGCCAAGGCAGCGTTGCCTTTAGATTCCTTGGATGGCCCAAGGATCCGAGGGCCCAGCGCGGACCACCACTAGGGCCGCCGGGCCCGCATCTAAATACATCTTCTATGGTTGTCAATTTGTCACACAATCATGCTGTAACTACATTTTTAGCGTAGAATTTATAGTTGTCCATATATGCTTTCTCCTTATGGTCCTCTGTCATTTTTTTTTATATCTGCATACCTTCGCAGGCAAAAAAGAGCAAAACAACTATTGAGACGATCATATCGTGTTCTTCCGTTTCTTTCAGCCATCGATTTACATGCTGTTTTAAATAGAACAGAAAGTGAAAGTTACAGTGTCAGCACGTACACGATGAAATACTAATGAATATGAAAATACCTCCAAGTATCAATGCCAAAGTTCCATTCAAATTTTCAAAAGAAAATCTGGGCCTTATAGAAAATTATGTCCGTTTCTCTCGGTGTCTCAATTATCGCAGCGGCAGCAATGACACTCTATTCTGATATTAACGTACGAAATCCGTTCGAATTTTCATTATTATATTCAATCAGATCAGATTCGCAAAGAAGTTGCTACTGACACGTGACGCGAGTCAAACAACGACCATTTTTCTTCCACGAATATCAGATTTTTTTTCTTTTCCAAGCGCGATGACACTGCGGCCGTTACTTCTCCTGGCTGAACTACCATTTCTGAACGCCAATCCTGCCACGGGATTAACTCCTGCCAACCTTAGCCGGCCGCCGTCTGCCATGCATCTCTCTCTGGACAGTTCGATCGCTGGAAATTCAAATTCAGAATGTAAACACGAACGCGTGTGAGTAGAATAAATCGAGCTGAAATCGAAATCTTCGATGCCATTTCATTCCCTGCTCCCGTATCAAACGAACCTGTGAAGAGGGAATTTCTGAAGTCTGAACACCGCGATGGCCATGGCGAGCAACCGCGCCCGCGTTTTGCCTATGCTGCTCGCCGTGGCCGTGCTTCTCCTCGAACAAATCGCCCTCTCATCGGCAGACTTCCCTCTCGGCGGCCAGGCCACGGTGCAGCTGCCTCCGGCCCCCTGCCAGCCGGGCTTCGCCGCGAGGGCGGTGGTGCTCGATGCCCACGGCCATCGGCAGCCGGCCTTTGTCGCTGCCGTGAGCGCCGCCGAGGCCGGCGCGGGGCGGTGCACGTGCTCGCTGGTCGTCCTCCTGGGCGGCGTTAAGGTCTGGGCCTCCGACCATCTCGAGAAGTTCGTGCCGGCCGCCCTGTGCCGGCTTGAGCTCACTGAGGGCGGCCAGCTGCGGCTGACGGACGGCGCCGGGAAAGTCGGGTGGCTGTCCGGCACGGCGGGGCAAGGCGTCAAGGTGATGCGCCGTGATCTCTGTCTACTCTTTTCTCCATTGTTTCAGTTTGTTTGCTTCAATTCGTTCGTCCATTGTTTAGCCATTGTTCTGCATTTGCTACCAGGAATTAATGATTGGGATTTGTTCGTAGATTTTCATAGGGGTAGACGATCGATAAAACAGTGCTAGGATTGGCTGTGCGTGAGTGCATGGGTAGACCATGTCAATCATCATCTATCTGGGGTAGGCGTCTACATCAGCGGTTTTTTGTTGAGAGATGTGTGTGCTCCCAAACCACACCGGCGCAATCCTGCTATTACTGTATTATTACACGAACGGGGGAATTGCCAAACTAAGCAACAATAGCTACCTACCGGATCTGATAAAAGAAATAACTCCTAGAAATGAAACAAAAATATGAACTAATATGTGTTGTAGCACGAATTGGCATATATGTAGATGATGAGAAGGTTTATACCGATCTGAGTACGTCGTAAAAGCGCGGGAAAGACATCATGCAGGTTTTTAAAAAACCGTTGGGCTAAAATAATACTTGCCTTAATAATAATAGATGTTGCGGAAAAAGGAAAGTATGTTTCTTTTGGCGCGAAACATATATGCGCTTATTAGAAGGCGCGACGAGTATTCCACTAGAACTCCGTAAGGACTTGAAAAACCACTAGACTAGAATTGAAGGTCAGTTTAGTAGTGGATGTTAGGGAAAAAGAAAATAAGTTTTTTTATGGCATAGAACCAGGCATTTAGAAGGCTGATGTCATGTATATTTCATAAAAGCTGGGGAAGGCCATTTATTATTTTCCTTTTTAAAAATGGCCATTCAACTAAACAAACAAAAGCTTGTACCGTCTTAATATATAGTTTCATGGGTTTAGAATATATGCATGCATTTTGTACTTTAGTACTTCCTCATCTTTAAATCCTTCATTTTGTCTTTATTCTAAGTCAAACTTCTCTAATTTTAACTAGGTATTATAAAACTATTAATATCTGCAAGTTAAAAAAAGCTATCAAGATACATTTTATAAATAATTTGATGGAACTAATTTCATATTGTAGATGTTTGTGCTTTTTTATAAATTTATTCACGCTAGAGAAGTTTGACTTAGAAAAAAAGGCAAAATAAACTATAATTTGGATCGGAGGGAGCAGTAGTCAACTCTTTTTGAGCAATTCTAGTAGTCATTTAACATTTGGGTTGCACGGTTGGATGTTCTCTCTTCGTTTTCTACAAGTAAAATAATTGGATAAGAGTTTTGCAGCCCCTAAATGGACTTGTTTGGTTCATGGGCTCATGGCCAAACTCGCCGAGCAATCTTTAGTCTTTGATTCATTGCCACCATTTGACCACTTCAGCTGTCATGTTTTCTTAGCACCGTCTCACATGTTGTAGATTTATTTTATAGCCACAATTTCTCACTATTGTGGAGTCCAAAGTTTTCGTCACAAAAAGTGTGGCGCGTTACACTTGACTTTTGTGGAGTCCAAATTCTCCGCCACAAAAAGTGTGGCTCGTTACACTTGATGACTTGACTAAGCTTTGCCGTGGCAAGGTTAGGCATGAAATAAACTATAACCAATGGCACTCCTAGCTACAAGTATCAGGGTTAAATTTAATTAATGTACCCGAAAATTCCCTTGATACAATCTTGGATTCTTGGTGAATGAGCGGATAAATATCAAACTTTAATGCTGGGAAGGAGGGCCAAAGTGTTCGATGCATTCTCACACTCGGCACACGACACACGGGATACATTCTCACACTCGGCACACAATAGTACACCACCCCTCAGACAGGTCCTAAAATGGGACATACATATCCTGCTTGTGTGTGTAGAAACATTTAATTTCACAAAATGTGTGGTAAACATTTCATGCAGATGTATACGATTTACTAGTGAATCATGGAATTATCTGTTCGTATCTTATCGTTTACCTTCATGAGGCCTTATTAACAGTGGAACGTTTACCATCAGGCGCTGCACTTGGATCGCAAGACCGGCAACCTCGTCCTCCTCGACGCCCAGAACTGCACCAGGTGGCAGAGCTTGGACGATCCGACGGACACATTCCTACGCGGCCAGCAGCGCAGACTGCCCGTGTACTTGATCGCGCCCACGACGACAAAGGTGGTGTCCTCGGTGTTCTACTCCTTCGAGCTTGACGGCGACAAGATAGCCGCCTACGTCAACTTCGGGGAGACCAGGTACTCCTACTGGGAGCTCGCCCCTCCGGCCAACCGGACGATGGCATCGGCGAGGCTCAACGGGTCTGGGCTGAGAATGCTGGACCTGCAGGGAGTGACGGTGGCGCAGATCACGCCGCCGGTGAAGAAACCACCGGTAAGCTTCCTGGCACTGGGCGACGATGGCAACCTGGTGATGTACTACTACGACACTCAGCACCAGAAGTTCAGGGCCTCGTACAGGGCACTCGGGTTCTGCGAGCTCCCTCTCTCCTGCAGCGTCCACGAGGTCTGCTCATCCGCCGGGAAATGCAAGGACTTCTCCGAGTACGCCGATCGGCCGCCGGCGCGCTCCGGAAACGCCAGCTGCGATAAAGCGTGTATGGTCCACTTGAGGGGCGTCACCACGGTGCTCCGGACCTCGTCTCCGCTGACCAACGTGACGCTTCGGGAGTGCGTGGTGCAGTGCGCGCGCAACCTCTCGTGCAACGCCGCACTCTACGTGAAGGACGACGCCGGCGTCGTCGCTGCGGCCGAGCACGGCGTGTGTTCGCACTACACACTGACGGCGGGGGCCAGGGAGGTGACTGACGGGAGCCGCCGGTACAGCTACTGGGTGAAGTTCCCTGCAGCAGCAGCAGGAGGTGACGAGGACGACGACGACGACGAGGACGAGGACGATGACAGTTTCCCCGGCAAGCTTAGCACTAGCACGATATTGATGATCTGCGGGGCGATCGACGTGGTGTGCGCCTTGGTGTTTGTGGTGCTCGTAGCCTTGTATTTTCGCCGGCTTCGTAAGCTCGCGGGCGCGGTGGACAGAGTTGTCGAGCTCCAAGAGGGCGAGACCGAGGGCGCCGGGGAGCAAAACGACACCCGACAGTAATGGGTCCGAACACAACTGATTGAACCACTGTTCGGGGAATAATAAGGACTGCATACTTCGAATGTCAATAGATGGTTGCGGTTTTGTAATTGCTTTTTAGGAAAAGCTATGTCACACAGGGGTATTTGGCTCTACGTCAAAAAAAAAAAGGGGGGGGGGTTTATTTGGCTCTACTGCCCACACCCGAAGTTTTTGTGATATTTTGATGATGGTTGACAAAATGTGCACATTACACAATAATGCATACATGTAAACGTGGACTAAACATATTGGAATTTGTAAATGCTTCTATTAGGGAGTTCGGACACCACATCCACCATTGACACGGCATCTCTGATCTACCAGTTGAGTGAGTGCAACCCCGACGCCCCACTCAGTTGTCTCCCCCTACCAGTTCACTCGTACACCCCGGCATCTGCATTTCACTCACTAAACCACCTTGCCCACCGATAGAGTTCCTAACTGACTACCTCACATCATACTTCCACTCATTGACGATGTGAGTATGTGACTGCTCAGGTTTGTGTGGAGGATTGCCGTAAAAAGAGACGGTGGCGATTGAGCCAGTAGCATAGAGGAACAAGACTTGGCGCATGGACCAGTGGACGTCTTGGAGTTGGAGTAAGAGCCGGTTTGGTACGGGTGCTGGAATGGCTCCTCAAGCACTTCTAGGGTGTGCCTATATTTCTTTACTAGCCCCGTCGTACTTGTATTTGTTTTGGTAATCAACTTGTGTCGTTGCCATTTTATGCTAGCTTGGTGTGTGAGGTACACTATCACACAAGCTCCTAGACACGACCGACATACCAGCTTTCACCTGAAAACCTATGTTCCTTTTCTTGAGTAATGAAAATCTTATTTGAGAATAAAATTGCATACATGCGCAATTTGGGGTATACATAAAAAAAGAGAAAGCCTATAAAAAATATCATAGAAGAGCTAGGAAGGGACCTCCTATAGTCCTATAGTCCTATCCACCTTTCTTGTGAAATGTGCCATCACGAGTCGGACATCACAATATCACATTGAGGTGGCTAGAGTTCAAGCGAGAGCATATGCAGGGATTCAGCCATGGAACCATCAAGCCTAATAAAAAAATTTTAGGGCCTGATTGATTTGCAACCAAAATTTGTCATGCCATAGATTTGGCAAGTCAAAGTTAGGTAAAAAAATTACCATGAATTTTGCAAGCCAAACGTGAGAGGTTAGCCAGTTTTGGTAGCAAACCAAACAATAGCCAAAATCATGACTTGCCAAATTCTTAGCGTGACAAATTTTGACCGCAAACCAATCAGGCTCTAATATTTCTTTTCGATACTCATTTTGAAAAACTACAGTGAAAATTTTCCCAAAAGTACTTCAACATTTTAGAAAAAGTACTTCAATAACTTTTGTGAAAATAATGTCGGGCAAATGAATATTTTTATTTAACATAGTACTCCTACGTTAAAAACGTTGAGGTATCATCATTTTTAAGAAATCTAAAATATATCATATTGGATCTTATTTTGCTCCCTCAATTATAGCAACGCAATTCAAATATATATGTGATTTAATTAAGAGAAAAGGCCACTCAAATATTGTGATTCATATTCTTATTCAACTTCCTCAATCGGTAAATCCGCTCCGTGTATCTCCTAGCCACCTAGGGCGTCTGTAATGGCAATTCAATGCAAGTAGAAAAGTTGTAAAAAAAATGCAAGGAGAAAAGGTATCCATTTAATCACAAAATTTGACATTTGAGTCGAATCATGACTCGATCGTATATTGGATAGCACAAGGGAGTTGTTATTCCTGACAAATGATAGTAGTAAGCGTAGGACGGAGACTGACAGGTGGGGTGAACTCATTTTTAACTTCGCGGAGAATCTGACTCTAAATCATCATTCATCGGCCCTGTTCGGTTTCTTATAATCCGTACTTTTTAGTTTATTTTTTTAGTCAGAACAATGCTTTTCTCTGACAAAAAATCAGCCGAAATAATGTTTCGGTTTGTTTTTTCAGCGAAGCGAACGGGGCCATTGAGACTCTCGCGTGTTTGTATCTCTATCTCTACTATAATGGATCAATCAAAATTATACTAGGTCCCTCGAGAAAAACGTTCTCGCTAAGAGCCTTCAAACTATTATGTACCTAGAAAAATACACATAGAATTTCATTTCTATTAAAATTAAAGGCTAATAAAATAGTAAAACCTATCCAACGTCTGACATTCGATGTGTGATGACAGGTGCAGAGCAGCCCCACGGCCACAGCCATGGTTCGATCCTCCTCTTCATCAGAATATTTTCTAAAAAAAAAACAAATGTCGTCCGTGCATGGGACGCCTCTCCTTTTCCCGTGCCGACCTCCCTTCTCCTCATCGCTCTCATCTCTCTTCCAGATTGGCGGCATCGCGGGCGGATCACCACCGCGCGGGCGAGCGCGAGAGCTCCACTCCGCCGCCGCTGCTCCCTCGCTGTAGATCTATCCCCTTCCCTCGATTTGTTCCTATGGCCGCCGCTGCGAGCCCGCGATTCGTATCCCTACCGTGCCCACGCTGCCGCAGGACCCGCCACGTCTACCTCCGCCGCCGGCCCGCAGAGGGCGCCGCGGCCTCAATGCAGCCAGCCAAGGCGGTGGCCGCGGAGGCGGTGGCAGTGGAGATGGGTAACCGCATGGGGCTGTGGGGCTGCCGAGGCCCGATGCGATGGGGAGGTTCAGGTGGTTCGCCACCGAGTTCTAGGTAACGCTAATTTGTCGGTGCTCGAGGATCTATTCATTGCTTTTTCTCTCTCACTGTCGATTTGGGCACCGTAGTTCAGTTGTTTTTTTACTGGTACATGATTCAGAGCAACTAACGTCATGTAGTCTGTAGAGATGCAGAGACAGAATGCCATTTGTTAACTAGCGTCCAATACTAAGTGGTAGATTGCTGCTTTCCTGAACATAGGGTTCTTGAACATACTCACCATTCATATTGTGGACTTCAGTTAGGGGCTCAGACGTAGCTGGGCTTTGAGGTTGGACACTTTATAGTTTGCATATAGTAGACTAATAGTACATTACATTGCTTGTAGCTGCGTCCAATTGAATTAGACTGATGTATGTATAATTTTTATGCATAAAGAAACTGCATGATTAGATATTTATGAGATCGCACAGGCTGTCTTGCTTTTAAGAGGGTAAGGTTGTGAAGACATGCGGCCATTGTTCAGTGCCATAATAATATAATTTGATAGATTAAAAAGGATAATTGGTCCTTATATACAACCTTGTGATACATTGATCACAGTATTGGTTTTGATCGCCTTAGTTATGTCTTTGTTAAGGTCGGTGATCTGTCCAAATCATATAAGCTGTCACTGGCACCAAGAAAAAAATTACTATGTAGGTACTGCATGCCAATGAGGTTCTATGGGCTGTCAACTACTCAACTCTCTTATTAATTTTGTTAATTTTATTATTGCTACTTTTCCAATCTGCCTTTGCTTCTGATCTTGATGAAGACATTGGGTTCCATCATTCTCGCTCCTATATAAGATAGAGGTAAATTCAGAAAACCTACTGCACTTAGCATGAAACTTCTCTGTTTTCACCAGAAAATCTATTGCATCTAGAAAATCTTATGGCTCAAGGTCAGTTTCTATGTTGGCATACAAATTGATATGCTGCCAATCATAACAGGGGCTGCTCAAGGTAAGACAGTTACATACATTTTTTTTGTTGTTGTAACATGCTGAGATTTGAGATACTAGGGCATGCCGAAGGAATGAATTTTTTTTAAAAATTTTACACAGGTCACTGTTTTAAGGACGGGAATATCTGCTATTCTGCTTGTTGTGCTCATCTGCAAGCTGAAAAGTAGAGTAATACTTTTTTCCAAAAATGTAACTGATGGTCTAGGGCAATTTAACTGAAAACTTTGTGACATTCCTTGTCTAGGGTCTTACATTACAATATGCATGTGTTCTGTACTTCTGTATTAATGTTTCCATAAATCAATGCTAGCTCTACTTGCGAGTGAATTGTTTCTGTAAATTGTCAAACGCTAGAAGTTAATGAGTTGTTATGTGCTGAAGTGGACTATATGCAAATAATGGTTAGTGTAATTCTGCATTCCTCTGAGGATTGTTTGTTTTATTTTTTTACAAATTTTATCTTGTTTTGTATTTCGCCAGAGCACGCTGACAGCGAGGCAGAGCAGGACACGGCGACATTGCGCTTGAGGGCGGCACGATGAGGACGAGCTCGATGAGGGTGGCCCGTGCATTGCGCGACCTTGCGCATAGACGGCGAACGTGGATCCCCGAAGTGCCATGGCACATGGCTCTGGGTCGGTGGGGTTTATTGCTAGCTGTACAAACACTTGCCTATAATCAATATAACGTGGCGCATGTGGTAATCTATTTATGCTGTTATTGGCTTCAAAGGTGTATTACCTATTTACACACTGAGCTATCACATTCACATTCACTGGGGACGGAATTCTTGGTGGACATTTTAAAGAACAGTGCAAATGAATGTGGAAACAATATTCTTGTAGAACTCCAACACCTAATTAAGCAAATCGTAAGTTAGAGGATTGAGACTAGACATGACTTTATTATGTCTCGTTTATGCATGTATTTTCTTCATATACAATTGCGTGAAACTTAAACTATGAAAAAATAGTATTATCATTTGGTTGTTTTCACATGCATCCTGAAATGAAACCGTAGCGTTAGCACGGGCGTTATTTTTAGTTCCACTAGTGGATTAAATTCAAAAAAAATTCCACTAGTAGTTCGATTCAGGCGAATGCGACTTGCGACGTCAGGTCATCAGCCGAGCCGATGGTTCGCTTTCAGTTTCTCACTATAGAAGCCCATATGTGTTGGCAGGCCCAATAAGAGTGACAAACATTAGCAGCCCAATTAGTACAGACAGCCTTGCTCGTCTTTCAGGCCCAGACAAAATTAACTGTTCGGGTCCCTACTTCTAATATTACAGCCCACTGTCGGAGCAACCGCAGGGCCGTT